ACAGAAAAAAGAGGGTTTTAGTCTTCATTATTGACATTACAGTTTAAACCAGCTTATCTCAAACTGGCACTCAAGCTTTACTTCAGACATTAAGTTGTGACCCCACATAGTACCAAAATCATAGAAAAGTACAAAAAAAAAGTACATTTTTAAATCTACATACAACATATATTGTTTTCAAGGAAAGTTCGCATTAGGTAAAGTTGCTTTTTTATTAACTTGTCGGGAACCATCAGTTTAAGCTATTCTTACCAAGTTAGGCCACAGCTCTCTGTAGACCTCAGGCCAAAAACAGCAGTCCAAGAAAACACAAAACCACACACTGAACCAATGATTCACATTTCATTCAAGCTTGGACATAACCACAAGCCCCATACCCAGACATCAGACGTCAGACCAACGACCAGCACACCTCACATAAGAAGGCGTATTGAAGTTAAAACATAGTTTATATATAGAAACCCACTTTGGTTCCTGCCTTTCCCCAAACCATCGGAACGGCTCATTCTGGTGAAGTTCAGAAAGCCATTGTGTGCAGGTAAGATGAGGGTGCGGAGGAAATAGTCACGACCATTTCAGTACAACCATTAAGGCTTAGAACAGGTACTATTACAACTCAATCATTCTAATACACTCATAATCATCCAAATTGTAATGCATCAGTTTTAAAAGCCATGCTTAAAAAAGAACTCATTTCCCTTACAGAGACAATTTAAGAGAAAGAAAGAAAGAAAGAAAGAAAGAAAGAAAGAAAGAAAGTTTTTTTCAAAGAATGACAAGGTGCAGGAAAGAGGGGAAAAGACAGAATGAGGAGGAGGAGGTGGAGGATATTCGTGAATCGCTCAGTAGTCCTGTCATCTTCAGCATCTTACAAGCCCACAGAGATATGGACTGGCTAAAATTAACACGAAGGATAATTAATATTAATAAGGGTGCCGTGTTGGCAGGGACTTTTAAATGGGTTAAGTACAACTGCAGAGCTGACGAGGTGGGGGCGGGGGGGGAGACCTGTTAACGCTCATTCTCAATTAGCTTTCTCTGAGGAGAGCTCGTCTGGCACACTATAAATGACTAACCAACCCTCCCTCCACACAATTACTAGCTCCAAACCTCAACCGGTCCAACATCACGGCAAAACACTTAACATGACACAACTCCAGTCAGGACCCTCTCTGCCTCCACGTCTCCACCTGTCTCTGCTCTTTCTGTCCCTGCTTCTGTTCTTTCCTGCTGTTTTTGAACTTTCAATTCTCCTGAACAGCATTATGATTATGTATTATTCATATTTCTGAATTATTACTCATTTTCTCCCTAAAAATGGAGTGCTTTAATTCACATTTGAAGTACTCATCAAGGCGGTGTGGCGAAATTAATGTGAACGGATACATTATATTTGCAAAAATGCAAAGAGCACATAAAATATATATGGAAATAATAAAATATTAAGTATTAATTTCAAAAAGATAATTTGCTCAGGCCAAAATTGCCTTTTCATTAATCCCACCTTAGGTTTTTTCACCTCTTATTAACTGTCCATTGAGTTATTAAAGATATTCTCTTTTTTATAAAAAAAAAAAATATTCTATTGCCTTTTACAAAACTGTGAGAATCTGAAAATGGGTTATGTTTGAATATGGGGGCTAATGACCTCATATTCAGTGGTTATGACCCTAAATCAAACATAATTACAAATATCTAAAACAACAATTACAATAGTAGACACTCATATTATAAAGGTGTAAATCAGTCTGGGATCATGCCGTTTATCTAAACAGTCGATGTTGTGCTTCTGGAAAACTCAGTTTCCCATGACCATCCTCATCCTCTGCCCATGCTCAGTAGTGGCAGCCATTCATATCATTACAGCCATTTTAAACGGCAGACTGGTGGCCGGTGACAGTGCTTATGTGATGGTGACAGTTCAGGTCTAAGGCATAGACGATACGTGAAGGGAAACTTACTTCGTGACTGTGTGTGTGTGTGTTTGTGTGTGTGTGTGTGTGTGTGTGTGTGTG